GAGCTGCCTTGGACCTCTGGATAGGACTGCTGGACAAATAGACAAACTGGCACCGTTCTGTCATCCACGTCACTGGGTCATGTTGCATCCTGTTATAGCCCGTGATTGATTAAACAGGACTCAGTAGTTCAGTTTCACCCTGGCTTTCTAAATCAGTGGCTAAACTGTTGTATTGTTATTTCTAGGTTGTAGCCTCAGATTACCATGTAGAAGTCCAGAATGTATAGCTCAAACTTCCCTTTTATGCTGTGTCTTCAGTAGAATAAAGATGCAAGTAGCCACATTAAAAGTAGAGTTTATTTACCTCATTGTATTACAGAGGTTTTAACTCGGTGTTGAATTCTTGCAAATCTTCGTGTAAACTGTTATTTGGTTATACCACTTCTGGTATTAAAAATGTCTGTTTGGTCTTTAGTTAAGTTGGTCAAGTTATGTAAGGCACGTGTTTAGGCTTTCCCTTGAGCAATGCAGGCTCTGTTAGTCCACCCTGAGAGAAGCGCAGTTTGAAATAAAAGCTGGTGCATTCTGTGTCATACGTGAATATTCTATTGTCTGAGAACATCAGAATCCATATTCAATCACTTTAGTGTATATGCATTCTTAATTTTTAAAATACTGCCTTCATGCCCTAGCTCAGTGGTTCTCAACCTTCTGGCCCTTTAAATACAGTTCCTCATGTTGTGACCCAACCATAAAATTATTTTCGTTGCTACTTCCTAACTGTAATGTTGCTACTGTTATGAATCGTAATGTAAATATCTGATATGCAGGATGGTCTTAGGCGACCCCTGTGAAAGGGTCGTTCGACCACCAAAGGGGTCGCGACCACAGGTTGAGAACCACTGCCCTAGCTGGTTTGGCTCAGTGGATAGAGTGTTGGCCTTCAGACTGAAGGATTCCAGGCTCAATTCCAGTCAAGGGCACATACCTTGGTTGCAGGCTCAATCCCCGGCCCTGGTTGGGGTACATGCAGGAGGCAACCAATCAATGTGTCTCTCTCACATTGATGTTTGTCTCTCTTTCAGTGTCTCTCCCCCCCCTTCCACTCTCTCTAAAAATCAATGGAAAAATATCCTCGGGTGAGGATTAACAACACTAAAATAAAATAAAATACTGTCTTCATGAACAAGTTACTCAATGGCCCTATTGGTTTGGCTCAGTCGATAGAGCGCCGGCCTGCAGACTCAAGGGTCCCGAGTTCGATTCCAGCCAAGGGCATGTACCTTGGTTGAGAGCACATCCCCAGTAGGGGGTGTGCAGAAGGCAGCTGATTGATGTTTCTCTCTCATCGATGTTTCTAACTCTCTATCCCTCTCCCTTCCTCTCTGTAAAAAATCAATAAAATATATTTTTTTTCAAAGTTATTCAATGGATAAGCCGTAAATAAATAGGAGCGATTTGACAGGACAAGATTATGAATTAAATACTCCCTCTTGATTTTGGCTGATTGTGAAAATGATATATAACTGCTGACTAGCACAAAAATTCTAGAACATATGCTAGGGCAGTAAAAGGATGTTATGTTGTTATCATATAATCACAAACCCCATTTCTTGAATATTTGAGCAGCTTGTGTGGTGAGTGATTGCTTATTAGCACACCCATAACTGTTTTAGCTCACAGTGAGCACAGACATGGCTCAGATGCATGAAAGACAGAGGCTCTGACACCACAGCAATTTAACCTAGTGAGGAATAACTGGAAAGGAGCCAGGGGAAGAACAAATATTATAGTCATTTGTGCAGCTTTGCCACCAGTCTGTCCGCTGCTGGGGAAAGGGACTGGACGGGGGAAGAATAGACCCGTGCCCAGTTGAGTCTGGGTGACATGGGGAAGGTACTGGCCTGTCAGTCACCCCTGGGGACAGTCATTGGCCAGGGTAGATGTGGCCACTGCGAACATGGGCAGATTTGAGATACTTGAGCTCCCAAACGAAGGAGTTTGCTCTCTTGAGTCCTGGCTTGCAGAGCTCTCACGCTCCCACGTTAATGGACTAATGGACTACAGCTAGTCTATGCTGTACCCGACTCAACTTCCCCATGGAATGGAAACTTCGGATGCTGGCTTTGCTGGTAGCTCTACTCACTCCCCAGCTACACGTCTCCCAGGACCGGACTAAGGGAAATGGGACTTTGAAAACCCAGAGATGTAACTCCATGCAAAGAAAAATCACTCACCTTCCCTAGATATCGTCCGGCTCTGACCCCCAGCACCCAGTGGGGTGAGGGATACCCCCCTTCACCAATAACATAACCAGAAAAACCCTCCCACTTACTGAAAACTCTCCTTTCCTTAGCAACATGCTGGGGAAAAAACAGCAAACAATATCCTACCACACATGGCAATCACCTATGCTTATCTACATTAAGGAAGAGATCAGAGAATGCTTCACATAATTGCCTTAGATTGAGCAGATTTGGGTCTGGCACTTTGGTCTCCACTGTATATACAGAGAAGTGAGACACAAGGAAGTGGATCGACTTGACCAGACCCACAAAGACCAATCAGGACCAACCAGAGCCACCTGTTTCCTCTTCTAGAAATTGCTTCAACCTATTCCAGCGGAGAGGAAATTGGTTGCCAGGTATAATTTGAAATTGCTAGATCATAGAAAACATTGATGTCTTTGAAATATTTAACGGATCAGGCAACATATACTTAATACTACATCACGTGGTACAAAGGGAGGAAAAGATTTGATAATAAAACGCCAGCCCTAACTCAGAGAAAGTGGATGGCATTGTTAAAGATTTTTTTTTTTTTTTTTTTAAATATATTTTATTGATTTTTTACAGAGAGGAAGGGAGAGAGATAGTTAGAAACATTGATGAGAGAGAAACATCGATCAGCCGCCTCCTGCACATCTCCCACTGGGGATGTGCCCGCAACCCAGGTACATGCCCTTGACCGGAATCGAACCTGGGACCTTTCAGTCCGCAGTCCGACGCTCTATCCACTGAGCCAAACCGGTTTTGGCAAAGATTTTTTAAGAATAAAAATTCCTTGGCCAGGGCTGGCTGCACCCAGAGCTGGACTACAAAAGTACCACATTCGTTATAATCTGCATGTTCTATGCACATGGGGTTGTGCGCCAGGGAGTACCGTTTATGTAGAACAGAGCTAAGGGTCTCTCTGTTTCCATAGAACGGAGTTTTGTCTTGGGGAACATTGTCCTTGAGCTTAGGGCAAGATACATCTGTTTATTTATACCACAAATCATAAAGTTACATGAAGATATAGCAACTAAAATTTAAAAAGGGAAGAAAAGTTAAAATGACATCTCTGAGAAGCTCTTAAAATGGGTGAACTGCATGTTCCCCACAAGCCAGAACTGGATTAAAGGATTTCTTCAAATACCTACTGGCAGTGAGAGTAGATTGCACTCCACAAAGGCCTCAGGTGAGTCCTGCACACACAGATGCCCAGGGAGGCAGCTGTGCATCTTTCCGTGAAACCTGGATCATCTGAAGAAGACTGCGCGGCCGGAAGTGGTGCCTGAGGGTGACCCCATGACTGCACACACCAGGCCGCTGCCCACCGCGGAGAGTGGGCAGAAGTTCACCGCTAAATTGCACACGGTCAGCAATGTAGGAGAGATGGTCAGTGTTCCCCAAAACAGGGGCTTACCATTTGTGGATACTAAATAGTAACAAAAAATAGATGTCGTAAGTGGCTCATCCATTTGACAAGTTATTTTGCTTTAAACAGCAGTGAATTATGAGACTATTGAGTATAGGTGATATGAATGAAGCAATCACATTAGGAAAGGTACATTTGCACCTGTAAAAGCACCAAATGTATTATCCAGATTCTCCTACACCAGTGGTTCTCAACCTCGGCTGCACATTAAATCACCTGGGAATCTTTTTAAAATCCTGATTTCTGGGCCTCATCCTCCGGAAATTCTGTTTCTTTGTTATGGGGTGAGGCCACAACATTAGTAACAAAGAAACAGAATTTCTGGAGGATGAGGCCCAGAAATCAGGATTTTAAAAAAAATTCCCAGGTGATTCTAATGTGCAGCCAAGATAGAGAACCACTGTCCTATAGGATGTTGTTTTTAAACCTGTAACTCCTGCCTTTCACACAACTGGTATTCTTTAATATATATTAAAGAGAAACATAAAATTGGTGTCACTAATAAAAGAGAAACATGCAAATTGGTGTCACTCTGCTATGCCCACCAGCCGATCAGGATGAGTTTGCAAATTAACCCAACAGAGATGGCGGTTAATATGCATATGCAGGCAGGGAGGGAAGACTGAAGGCTCCAGCCCCAGCGAAGACTGAAGACTGAAGAGGCTTGGCTTCTCTGCTGCGGTCAGAGCAAAGGCCTGGGTCCCGGGTGCCGGAGGAAAACTGGTGCTGGCAGCCAGGGAAAGGAAGGCCTATTGCATGAATCTCTTCGTGCAACGGGCCTCTAATATTAATATATATATAATTTTTTTATTGATTTCAGAGAGAGGAAGGGAAAGGGAAAGTTAGAAATATCAATGATGAGAGAGAATCATTGATTAGCTGCCTCCTGCACATTCCCTACTGGGGATCAAGCCCATAACCTGGCACATGCCCAGACCAGGAATCAAACTGTGACCTCTTGGTTCCTAGTAAACACTCAACCACTGAGCAACACCAACCAGGCGTAACTGACATTCTTATTGCTACATTTTTATTTGTTCTCTTTACTGGAGAATCCCAGGGACACTATTTTAAAGGGAATTTCTTACATACTTCTGAAAGAAATTGGATCTAAGCTTTATTATTACCATTTGTTATTATAGTTAAAATTTATAGTACACCTTTAAACATATATATTTATTTTATATATTTTTATTGATTTCAGGGAGAAAGGGAGAGGGAGAGATAGAAACATTAGTGATGAGAGAGAACCATTGATTGGCTGCCTCCTGCACACACACACCCCCCCACACACACACACTGGGGATCAAGCCACAACTTGGCATGTGCCCTTGACCGGAATTGAACCCGGGACCTTCAGTCCGCAGGCCAACGCTCTATTGACTGAGCCCGACCAGCTAGGGCTAAACATATTTATTTAAAATGAAATGTATTTAAATGTACAAAGTATGTTAAATAATGAGATTTCTTGTGATTTTTTTTAATACTACTAATTTAAAGCAGGAATGCACTTGCTTCACTTTCAATTGAATGTTTCTGGAATTGTTATCAAATATCACATTATCTCACTTAGTTTTGGAATCTAATAGACAAAATGAATTGACCAAAAAAATATGGCCTGAAGCACAGAGGCATGGAACAGACTGACACACCTTGCTGTGGGGGTGGAGGGATCAGGAGAAACCAAAGAGCTTAAATACTTATATGCGTAGCCCATGGACACAGACAATAGGGGGTGAAAACCTGGGGTGGGGGGCAGTGGGGGCTATGTGGAGGCAGGTAAAGGGAAAATAGGAGACTTCTGTAATACTGTCAACAATAAAAAATATCTGTATATATTTAAAAAATAATTTTTTTCTTAGCCAGAATTTGGGTGAGAGACTGTTAAAACTAATTAAAATGATAATTCTGGTTAAAAAAAAAATAAGTGAAGTATAAATTCAATGGTTTTGGTATATTATGGCATTATTATTTTTTAATTGTGATATAATATATATAATAAAATTTACCATTTTAAGTGCCCTATTGAGTGGTATTAAGTGCATCTGTGATGTTGTGCAACTATTGTAACTGTTCCCAAACCTTTTCATCCCCCAAGCAGAAACTCTGTACCATGCAATAATCCCCAAGCCTCTGGCGGCCTCTAGTAGACGGGGTATGAAATTGCTTATCTAGATAGCTCACAGAAATGGAAGCATGCAATAGTTGTCCTTTTGTCTGGCTCACATCACTCAGCATGTTTCAAGGTAAGCATGCATTTTTCTTGCTCAGGGGTGCGTGGGTCACTGAGCTAGCACTAGGCTGAGGTTGGGTTCAGCTCTGCTCATCACGGCTTCACATTTCCCTGCGACCAGCCATTTCCCAGGGTCTATTCTTCTCACTGAAGGTCACATCAGCCCAAGAGATCAAGCTATGCCAAGGAAGCACATTTAAGGCTTCCACTCTGTTACCTCCATCTAAATTCCATTGGCCAGACCAAGTCACCTGGGCAAGCTCAACATCCATGGGGCAGGGAAATATACTTGGCCCACTCTGGGAGAGGCTCAAAGCCAGGGCAAGGCAGAGAGTGAAGAATTGAGAATAATCCAATCTGCCACACATACAGACATACACAAGTAAATAAAGCCCCCCTCATCCCACCCTCACCCCTCGTTCTTTGTAACCACAGCAGAGATTGGACACAGACACACAGAGGAACAGGGGGAGACGATGGCCATCTACAAGCCAAGGAGAGAGGCCTTGGACATCCAGCCTCCAGAGTGGTGAGAGAATGCATTTCTGTTATTGAAGTCCTCGGTACAGTCCTGTTATCGCAGCCCAAGCCGCTGCAGGTCTTCTTTGGAACATCTCATTCTCCCCAGTTAGGAATACATACTGCAGTGAACATTCTCGGGCATTTGTTTGACGGTGGAAGTCTGACGATCTGTAGGAAACCAGGAAACATGTTGTGTCCTAGATTCTGGCAGATTTGCCGTTGCACCCCCGAAGGGCGTACATAGGGAACTTTCCATGTGCCTATGTGGAGACCAGAAGCTGCGGGATTTGTCTGTACTGGGACATTCACAGTTGCCGGAGCCAGGACTTCTCTTTTCACCTCTGACCTCTCCCTTCACTCCCATCCCACCCATGGGTCATTGTCCCCATCTGCTTGGCAGGGATCACAGCCAGATGGTGGACAGCCTGGGCTCTAACCACAGCCCACAGACTGTCTTTCCTCAAAGGTTCCCAGCAACCACTGCTCCATTTGGAGGAAGTCAGGATGAGTGGGTTCCAGACCCAAAGCTCAGAAGCATGTGACCTGGCAGTGGAGCCCCCGGGGGAAGCTGTGCTGGCCAGGGCTGGGCTGGTGGCAGTTGTAAGAGTGGGGGCCCCAGGTAGGGCAGCCCCAGGCCTGGTGTGGTGGTGTCAACAATGCAGGGACTCTTGGTGGTTGGAGGCAATGGAGAGAAGCTTGCTTGGAGGAGGCGGGGGGGCAGGAGGCACACCCTTGTCTGGGTCAGGAGTGGGTTGTGGAGGAGACTCCACAGTTGGCCCCAGGGTTCTGGGGCCAAAGGATAGGTGCGAAAGAGGCAGCTGGGAGCTGTCCTTGGAGGGCCTTGGGCAGTACCTGGGGGGAACCTGGGCAACACGCTTGGGCTGAGGCTGCCCCGAGGCTGCAGTGGCCTCCACAGTGCCCTGAGGCTCAGACTGTGGTTGGCGGACCTAGAGCAGATTCTGTGAGGAACTAGCCTGGTCCTCTGGAAGGGGGCTCAGCCCGGGCAGTGCCTGCTATGCCCCCAACTCACCTTTCTTGAGCTCCTGCCGCACAATCTGTGTCATTCTGTTGAGGAAGCCCTTCTGGTCATAGGGAATGAGGCCCATGAAGGTCTTCTTCTTGGGGGACAACAGGAGCATATATATGCGCAACTTGCTGTGGTCCATGAAGAGAAAGTGCACGAAGCCCCCACAGTCGTTGCCTATAGTGTGGTAGAGGCTTTTGTGGGACTCCAGGTCCAGGTTGGTGAAGGAGAACTGGACCCTCCTTGAGTTCCGGATATAATGGCCCAGTGGGATCAGCTGCTGCGAGGGGAACAAGTTCATGATCAGCTTCTGAGGCCACAGGTCTGTTTTCAGATTCTCACCATGATCCAAGTAGACCTGGCAAGGCAGTGACCGCATCAGCAGGGTGTCGGTGCCTGGTTTGAACTTCTCCTTCCACTTGAGGACCCTGCTCCATGCCAGGGATTTTTTGGAGATTGGCTGCTCCTCACTGAGGGCCAAGTCCCCTAGCGGGCCTGGTGAAGGGCCACTCTCCTCACCTTGGGATACCATGCCTACCATGGATGGTGACCCAGGCTGTGCAATGCGGGGCAGGCCCTGACCAGGGGTCACTGAGAACTGGTTCTTTTTTACGGTTTCTGTGTCCTTTTTTATGGTTTCCATGTCTTCTTTTATGGTTTCCATGTCCCCTTTTATGGTTCTGTGTCCTTTTATATGGTGTCCATGTCCTCTGGTATGGATTCCACGTCCCCTTTTATGGTTTCCATGTCCCCTTTTATGGTTTCCATGTCCTTTTTCATGGTTTCCATGTCACCTTTCATGGTTTCCGTGTCCTTTTTTACGGTTTTCACGTCCCCTTTTATGGTTTTCACGTCCCATTTTATGGTTTCCACGTCCCCTTTCATGGTTTCCGGGTCCTTTTGTATGGTTTCCGTGTCCCATTTTATGGTTTCCATGTCCCCTTTCATGGTTTCCGTGTCCTTTTTTATGGTTTCTGTGTCCTTTTTTATGGTTTCCATGTCCCATTTTATGGTTTCCATGTCCCTTTTCATGGTTTCTGTGTCCTTTTTTATGGTTTCCACGTCCCATTTTATGGTTTCCATGTCCCTTTTCATGGTTTCTGTGTCCTTTTTTATGGTTTCCACGTCCCATTTTATGGTTTCCATGTCCCTTTTCATGGTTTCCGTGTCCTTTTTTATGGTTTCCACGTCCCCTTTTATGGTTTCCACGTCCCATTTTATGGTTTTCATGTCCCATTTTATGGTTTCCATGTCCCCTTTCATGGTTTCCGTGTCCTTTTTTATGGTTTCCACATCCCCTTTTATGGTTTTCATGTCCCATTTTATGGTTTCCATGTCCCCTTTCATGGTTTCCGTGTCCTTTTTTATGGTTTCCACGTCCCCTTTTATGGTTTTCATGTCCCATTTTATGGTTTCCATGTCCCCTTTCATGGTTTTTGTGTCCTTTTTTATGGTTTCCACGTCCCCTTTTATGGTTTCCACGTCCCATTTTATGGTTTCCATGTCCCCTTTCATGGTTTTCATGTCCTTTTTCATGGTTTCCATGTCCCATTTTATGGTTTCCATGTCCCCTTTCATGGTTTCCGTGTCCTTTTTTACGGTTTCCACGTCCCATTTTATGGTTTCCACGTCCCCTTTCATGGTTTCCATGTACTTTTTTATGGTTTCCATGTACCCTTTTATGGTTTCCACATCCCATTTTATGGTTTCCATATCTTTTTTTAATCCTCACCCAAGGATATATTTTTTATTGATTCTAGACTAAAAGGAAGAGAGAGGCAGAGAGAGATAGAGATAGAAACATCAATATGAGAAACATTGGTTCCCTCCCATATGTTCCCAACCAGGGTTTCATCCAACAACCTGGGTATGTGCCCTAACTGGGAATCGAACCAGTGACCCTTTGGAGATGGGACAATGCTCCAAACAACTGAGCCACTTCAGCCAGGGCTCCATGTCCTTTTTTATGCTGTTAAAGTTCTAAGTTCAACTATTGTTCCCCTAAGCTCACTGAGTACCATCATTATAAACAGTGTTTGGAACTATGCATCTATTAGATTGCTTGTCTCCCTTCTGTTTAGTTCTTTTTCTGGACTTTTGTTCTGTTCTTTCCTTTGGGACATGTTTATTTGTCTCCCCCTCTTTGGCATCTTCCCTGTGTCTGCTTCTGTGTACTAGGTAGAGCTGCTATGTGTCCTGGGCTTCGTAAAGTGGCCTAATATAGTAGCTGTCCTGTAGGGTCCAGTGGCACAGTCTCCTGATCACCTAAGCTGCGCACTCCAGTTGTGCCCCCAACCTACACCATCATGTGCTCTGTACACCCTCCTAATGTAGTTGAGCCTCAATTGCTGTAGGCACCTCAATGGGAGTTATTTACCCCCAGGTCGATCAGCTGCAAGCACCAACCACTGTGGAAGGTCAACTGTGCAAGGGCGTACCCCACAGAGCTGGACTTACCTCAGTGGGGCAGTGGTGCCTGCTGAGTCCACCCCTTGAGTGTGTCCCCTGTGGAGGAAGTTGGTGGTGCTTCAACATGGTCTGAAGCTGTCCACCAGGTGTGCTGGCTCTGGGGCCTCCTAGGAGGTGCTGGCCCAGGTCAACCACTACCTGTGTTCTGCCCAGGGCTATTGGGCTTGAGCTACAAAGCAATCTGCAAAGGCTGCTACTTGTGCTAAGTTTGGAGATGCCCAGGAGACGCCAAGATGTGAACCAAAGCCAGATGCTGCTAGTGCTGGGCCTGGGGCCACTTTGTGAGAGGTACTGCATGCTGAGGCTAGATGCTGCTTATCTGAGTGATTTTAGAAAAGTCTGAAGCATGAGCAAAGACAGGCCATTATATTAAAAGCCAGTTGGATGGGGCAGGGACTCAGATATGGCCCTTGCCTATAGGCTCTTTGGACATATTTATTTGTCTCCCCCTCTTTGGCATCTTCCCTGTGTCTGCTTCTGTGTACTAGGTAGAGCTGCTATGTGTCCTGGGCTTCGTAAAAAAAAAAAAAAAAAAAAAAAAAAAAAACCATACACACACACAAAAAAAAAACCCACCAAAAAAACAATGGCCCTGCCCTTGCCTGTGTTGCTCAGGGTAAGAGCTTCAGCCCATGCACTGAAGGGTTTCACTTTTCTGCACTGAAGGGTTTCACTTCCCTGCCCCTAGTTGGGGCGCATGTGGGAGGCAACCACTTGATGTCTCTCTCTCATCTCTCTCTCTCTCTCTCTCTCTCTCTCTCTCTCTCTCTCTCTCTCTCTCTTTCCCTTCTCCCTTCCTCCCTCTTTTCCATTCTCTCTGAAAAGCAGTAGAAATATCCTCAGGAGAGGATTAACAAAACAACAAAACAAACAATTCCATTTCCAGTTTCTTTCAAGCAGCTGCCTCAGCAATGGACTCAGAGGCAGTGAATCTGAATGAGTGCCCGGGCACTGCTGGGACTCCAGGAGCCCTCCCTCCCTTTGGCCTTAATCCCCACTCATTTCTACAGCCAGAAGTTATGGGGATTTCTCTTCCAGCCCTGGGACCCTGGGGTAGGAGGCCTGGTGTGAGGCTGGGACAGCCGAGATATCCCTCCCAATTTTCAGCCCGTTCCATGTCTGGGCCCCACATACCAGGCTCAATGTGGCTTCTTCTTTAAACCTCTAGTTGTAGGACTTCTCTTCAGCGAGATTTCAGGCAGTTCTGGATGATGGTTGTTCTGTAGTTTAGTTGTAATTTTTATGTGGTTGTGAGAGCCAGGCTGTGTTTACGTGACCGGGTTTCCCCTTGCCTTTCTTCAGCTAAATGGATGGTCCCTTCCTGTGCCATCCCTGATCACTACTTCCTACTTCCTACTTCCTTTTTTGCTATTGCCCTCCTTCTGGGCGGGCAGATAAAGCCACTACTTCCTCCAGCTCAGATACTCCCAGAACAACCAGAAGGGGTCAGTATTTTTTTTTTTTAATATATTTTATTGATTTTCCACAGAGAGGAAGGGAGAAAGATAGAGAGTTAGAAACATCGATGGGAGAGAAACATCGATCAGCCGCCTCCTGCACATCTCCTACTGGGGATGTGCCCGCAACCCAGGTACATGCCCTTGACCGGAATCGAACCTGGGACCCTTCAGTCCGCAGGCTGACGCTCTATCCACTGAACCAAACCGGTTTTGGCGGTCAGTATTTTTTTTAAATATATTTTATTGATTTTTTACAGAAAGGAAGGGAGAAGGATAGAGAGTTAGAAACATTGATGAGAGAGAAACATCGATCAGCTGCCTCTTGCACATCCCCTACTGGGGACGTGCCCGCAACCAAGGTACATGCCCTTGACCGGAATCGAACCTGGGACCTTTGAGTCCACAGGCTGATGCTCTATCCACTGAGCCAAACCGGTTAGGGCAGGGGTCAGTATTACAATTGCCCCTCATTTACAGACATGCAAACCCAAGGACAAGCAGTACCTGCCCACGTTCAAAGCTCTGGTAGCAGCGGAGGCAGGATTCCATCCCGAGTCAGATGACTGCGCTGGCATCTCACCCCCAGCAGCAGCTCCTGACAGTGTTTCCTCACTTCTGCACGCCTTCAAATAACTTTGAGAAATATCTAAGCACGTCCTTGCATGATGTTCAGTGGATATCTCAACTTTCTCATAAGCGCAGTTACAAAGGATGTAATTTCCAATACATATATGCTGATTTAATTAAATAAATAAAACTGCATATATGATTTTTAACATGCATCCAACGAAGTCTAAATAGCCCATGGAGCCCGGCCAGCACGGCTTAGTGGTTGAGCATCGACCTATGAACCAGGAGGTCATGGTTCAATTCCCTGTCAGGGCACATGTCCAGGTTGCAGGCTCGATCCCCAGTGCAGGGCGTGCGGGAGGCAGCTGATCAATGATTCCCTCTCATCATTGATGTTTCTATCTCTCTCTCCCTCTCCCTTCCTCTCTGAAATCAAGAAAAAATATATTAAAAAATAATAAATAAAAAGTGTAGAGTGGGTCAAGAGGCTGGGTGAGTGACACAGTTCCCAGGGAAGGAAGCAGGCCAGGAGCAAGGCCCTATGTGGGGAGGGAGTCACCTGTGGTGCTTGGGAGGCGGCACAGGTTCCCAGGCCTGGCCCCTTCCCCACCCAACTTGGTGATGTGGAAGGACTTGGCTGCGGGCCCACGTGTCTCATCTCATTATTCCGGCTGTGACAAGCCAGAAGCCAGGGCGCAGCCAGCTGGGCAAGTCCAGGGAGGCTCAGAGAGGCCGACTGTAGGGAGGAAACTTCCCTCAGACACGCCCCGTGGGAAGCAGCCAGTGGTTCCTTGTCACCCGTCCAGGGCAGTGGAAGGCCAGCCTGCCCGCTCCATTTGGACTGGGTGCGTGGACGTGTGAGTCCGCCTGTTGTTGCTGGAAGCTTCTGAGGGTCGTTGTGCAGAATCGTGCCAGCGGAGCTCTGAGAAGGAAGGGCTCACCCTGACAGCTGGGATGTTCTTCAATGGGCTCTGCTCTTCCCCACCCTGTGGCCAGAGGGAGCCATCACAGACGCTCATCAGGCTGGTCTGGGCGCTGTGTAACAGCTTCAGTAGTTCCCACCATCGCTGAGATAAAGACCAAAGTCCTCCTGTGCCCCCTGACATCTGACCTGTTGAGGTCACTCTTCGCACCCCTCAGCACCCCCCACACGACCTCTACACTCCTGGGGCCCCATTCCCTCCCGCCTCCCCCAGCGAATTCCTGCTGTGCCGACCTGTCATGACCTCAGAGAGGCCTCCTGACCCCTGGGCTAGGTCAGCGTCCCTGCTCTGTATTCTCATGGCTCTTGCTCCCCTGACCTTAATGCTCACCCAAGTTCAATGTCATGACTTCTCATTTGCTGCCTTTCCCTCTGGACTGTAGGCACCACCACAGCACGGGCCACGCTGTCGGCCGTGCATGGCCTGCGGTGGGCCCTGAGCATTTGATGATGGAGGAAATGCTCTCAGCTCTACCCTAATTGCTTGTCTTTCTTGGAGGGTGGGGACTGCAGTTGGCTCATCTCTGTATCCCCAACTTTTA